AGGTTTTTTTTTTTTCCATTTAGATTTCCATAAAACAAGAATGATACAAAATCTTTATGAATCATCAAATACAACACAGGTATTTTTTTAAAGGTCAACTTTTTCTTGCAGCTAAAGAATACCATTCATGGGATTGCTTCCCTAGTACAGTGTGTCTTCAAGGAGTACTGGAAGGAATGGGTGTTGAGAGGTGAAGGAGAAAAGGCCAGCTGGAGGACTCTTGGTTACTTTGGGAGGATGAGAGGTCTGACATGCTATTTGGGGGTTTCACAAGAGTATTTCAGGACAAATTGTTTCTGGCATTGAAGGGTCTGACCAGATTAAATCCACCAGGTGGACTCCGACAACAGAAACCCCCACAGATCTGGGCCGTCTCGATTTTGTCTTGAAGCTATACCCTGTAGCCTGTGGTAGTCAGGGGAACAGCAGTCTCAAAAGATGAGGACATTTAAAATGAACAGCCAACCATCCCTACTGCCATATCTCATTCTTGATATCACTGGTACAGAGTTGCTACCCCAGAGACTTTTTTCTTCCTCTTTCCAAACTTCCCAAACTCTCCCTCAAACCCAGCCTTCTTTTCCCTCTCCTTAGTGGTTTGGTGCTTTACTATTCGTGTCAGCTTAGCTTTGCATTTTTCTTTTAAAATTTCTTTATTACCCAGATCCTTTATAATAAAAGAGCATCTGGGAGTTGTCATGACCAAAACATCTCCCCCCAAAACAAAAAAAAACCCACAAAACTTTATTTTCTAGAAGCAAAAGAAAGGAGAAAGGCTGAGAATACTCATGCGTTAATATTTTTTGAGGCTGTCACATAACCTTTGATGATCACTTACTTAGTGTGAGAGTCACTAGGGATCAGGCCACCTTACGCGGTAAGTATCGTGTCTAAGAATAAACATTGGCATGTTTTCTAGCAGCTACTTGGCAATTAATTTGAACGGTGCTCCTGTGAGTGCAGTCACTGAGCGATGGGACTGGAAATTGCAAAGCTTTTGTTCACAGAAACTAAACCATGCCCATAAAACTGTATTTTTGTTTTAATGGCTCAGCTAAACCATCCAATTCTATTTTAAACAAATATTTCTTTCCTTCCCCTAATGACCTTCTTCCTCTTTCTTAAATGTGACAATATTGCCTTCTTGGGGACTTTGCATTTGCTTACTCCCTGCCTTGTGCAGGTCTCTGCTCAAAAGTTACGGCTCTACTTAAGGGTGCACCCTCATGGGGCATCGTGTAGCCTTTTGCCCTGCTTTGTGCTCTGCATAGGTGTTAGGACTGCTGGACAGTCTTAGTCTAGGCACCTTGGAAAACCAGAACCTGAAGCAAAGTTCTGTGCTAATGCTCTATTGGGAGGAGCCACGCCAGGGAGGAAGCGCAGGGAGGCAGAGAATGAGGGAGAGCAAATACAAGGTGATATGTTAGGAAGCTGGCTACTGCTTCCAGAAAACATCGCTGGTGGCTCAGTTCCAATTTACCTGCTGGTTCCTTTCCATCTCTGTCTCTCATGGGTCTACGTTCATTCCTTAGGGTAAATCCCCTGCACTTACCTGTTTTGTTATGTGGTCCGTTGGGGCAGCAGCTGGGGAAGCCACTCTGGGCTGGGCACAGGAATTGCTACAGCTTCTCATGCTGTGATGAGTGAGTGGAAGCCAGGGCTTTTCACCAAGGAGACTCTGTGAGTTGGTGCTTGGGGTGACCCCAGCATAGACCTGGGAGCCAGGTGAGGCCAAGTGCATCTGGGATCTGCATAAACTGGTTCCAGGACCCTGATATTGTATATTTTCTTTTTTATTATATTCTCCTTCATTTGGACACATAGAGATTGCTTGTTTTGTTCATTCATAATCACAAGAACAGTGTCTGTCACATACTAGACACTCAATAAATATTTGTCGAATGAATCTATTGAGTCCCTATTATGTGTCAGGGATTGTTACAGCAGCTAGAAGAGACAGGCATTGCCACTGATCTCACAGATGGAAAACGTATAGGGAGAAAGGTGACTTTCTTAGTGCTATTCAAAATGGAAGCAGTTCTGGTTTTCCCAGCTTTTGGCCTTTAGTCTACAAGAAACAGTGTGTTTCAGAATATAAGCACTCTTGACTTGACTTTGCCTGTTCTTTTGTAAGGAATGGACTTTTCTAAGAAAAGAACTAAGCTGACTCCTTGTGTGAGCATTTGGCCTCTCTGTGCTTAATTTTCCTGATTTAGAAAATGAGCGTGGCACCATGGAATATACCAAATGGATACACAGAACAATATTACTAGCACTACCTGACCGTATGAGTGTGCTTGGGCTGCCATAACAGAGAGCCGCAGGCTGGGGAGCTCGACAACAGAAATTTATTTTCTCACAGTTCTGGGGGCTAGAAGCCCAAGATCAAGGTATTGACAGCGTTGGTTTCTTCTGAGGCCTGTCTCCTTGGCTTGTAGATGGCCATCTTCTGCCTGTGTCTTTACATGTTCTTCCCTATGTCTTTGTCCTAATCTCTTCTTATAAGGACACCAGTCATACTGGACTAGGGCCCAAGCTCATGACCTTATTTTAAGTTAACTGTCTGTTTAAAGAGCCGATCTCTAACCGTATAGTCACATTCTAATATACTAGGGGTTAAGACTTCAATACGTGAATTTGGGGAGGTGGGTAGAGAGGGATACATTTAAGTTCATAACACTAACCCTAAAGAACTTGATTTTTTAAAATGTGGGGTAACGTGCAGGCCTGTTTTAAAAGGCCTCATGACATAAACGCCATAACCAGGCATCAAATTACATCCCATTCCCTGCCGCCTCCTGCCTTCTGTGGCATTCTCTTTCTGTTCTCCTTGGCCCCAGAATGAGACCAGCAAGGCATTCAGAGCAGGTCACAGAGGGATCCAGAAATCCAAGAAGAGGGTATTGTACCGAGTAAATAAAAGGAATTATCATCCATCTAAGGTTCATTGTTTAAATTACCATGTTTATTTATATCAACACAAAATACAATAACACAACTTACAAAAAAACCAATTTATCTTCATGTAACATAACTCTTCAGTGAACAGAAGTACTACTGTTAATGTTTTGGCCTTTTCAAGGTCCTGCCTTGGGTCAAAACAGTATTCAGAGAAAGAGCAGATTCTTCTCTACCTTCCCTAAAACACACTCAAAGGAAACTTCTATTTTCTAAAATCCCATTTCAGTAATAATATGAAAAATAGCACAATAAGTCCATGTAGAGAATAGTACTATCGTTTCATCAGTATTGCAACTTGCACGTTGCTATAGATTTTCCCTAAATTCTGGGCATCAATCAGGAACGTGAGGGGTACATCAGCCCTTCAGATTTTCAAGGTGATTGTTTAGTAATTCTTTTCATATAGCCATGCATTCCCTAAATGTCTGATATACCTGAGTTATTTAGAAACCAGGGGGAAAAAAAGGAAGTCTCCAAGTGATCAAATGTATACAGATCTATCTGGTAGAACTGAAGACAATTATAGATTATGCTGACGATCCAATGGACTATTGCAAAACCTCCACTACGTAATGATCTATTCACCTAGTAAAAGGCTTCACATTACAATTTAATCAAAGGTAATAAACATTTTAGGGATGGTAGAGAATTCTAATATATTCCAGTAGTTTAAATGTTATTTGTAGTCTCAGTACATTTTCAAACAAATGATAGTTATTGCTTAACGAACACATCCTTCTATTATTTCACTGACAAAAGAGACAGTTTTGTGCAGTGGGAAGGGGAAATGGCTTGGAGTTAGAAGATCTAGATTCTGAACCCAGTTCTGCTCACTCTCTGAGCTTTAGTTTCCTTACGAGGATCACATGAGATAAAAGTGCTTCGTAAAGGAGTCATAACCATACGAAATAATATTCTATGGAGTCCATCTCTTTAATCAGCTGATGGATCCCTAATTGTGCACATGTATTTTGCAGGTAAAATTTTAACTTCTTAAAGTGAATATATGATGCATAGCCACCAACGCAGCTGAAATGTGCAAGGTGGGCTATGCAGATGGGAAAAGATTATTGATTAAAAAGCCTATAATGCATGAGGGACTTGTGTACTCTTGATTTAAAACCATTTAAAATTGTATGCTGTTTAATCCACGTTATTTTAAAATTAGTGGAGCTCTCTTTGAATGAATTATGTGACCATTTAGAGTAAGTTTTAAAAAAAGAAATGAAAACTTTTGTATGGGGCTTAGAAGACTGTGAAATATGGGACAAGTTGTAGTTTGAAACTCAGGGTCAAGAAAGAAACTAGTGTAGAAGAGTATTTTTCAGGTAATTTAAATATAAATTAAATGATAGGGTTGTCATCTTTGTTTTTTACAGGTGACTTTTTAATTTATAAATTACTTCTTCCTCAACTGTAAAACAAATAAAATACTTATTTGTGTACCTGACTTTTAGGTGCGTACAAATTCACAGAAATTATTAACACTTAATTTTCAGTCTTAAATTTGGCATATCTTTGGAAGACTTGCATCCTCTCAGCTGAAGTAAAATCAGAATCTCATTTCTCATAGATTTTTAAAAAATCTTCTTTTATGAAACGGCAGATTTACTACAAGCTTAGAAATAATTGATGAGTGTGGATATACAGTGTGAACATATGGGCTTTGTGACTTTGCTGAGACAAAGACTTCAAGTAGCTGTGTTCCTAAAACAAATGAGATTCTAATTTCAAACATTTTTCAAATGGAAATCAGGCCCCCGTGAATCATTCTGATGATTTCTTGAGGTATTAATGCAACAGAGTTAGTATTCTTCAACTGATCCCCAAAGTCACCTCTTTGCTAAGGATATTCCTCTTCTTGATTATTTTGAACCTGCCAACATAGTCTCTCGCCTTCATATAGAGGATGACTGATCTCCAAATGACCTATTACCATCTTAAACCAACCTCATTTTGAAGCAACAAGAAAGAAAAATTAAATAGTGCATTAACGTTTCATATCAGTGAAACAGACTTTTTCCATCCATGCAGTAGTTCTATCCATCTGTGGAAAGGTCCACCTTTTGTTTTTCCTTGTGTTTATAGGTTACATTTTTAAAAGTACTAGTGGAGCCTCTGTACAGTGGATTGGTTCCCTAAAAAAAAAAAAAAAAAAAAAGATTCAAATGAAAGTATGTACATTTTGTGATTATCCTGTTTTATTATCTCTGTATTCATTATAGCTCAAATTGGGAAAGGAGAGTCAAGCTCATTCTTGGAAACCATTGGACTAATTTTTATTATTTTGATATTTCATACTGTTAGCATTTTAAAATTTATACATTTTCTTTTTTTTTTAATATGCAGACCCAATCCCATAGGTGCACATTCTAAAAATCTTACCATTTTTGGAAATGTACTAACTCAGGAACAGAAAACAAGACTCTGGCTGCTTTGTTCACCACTGTTTTCCCAGCACTGAGAAGAGTACCTAGCCCAGAGTAGGTACCCAGTATTTACTGAATGAGTAGCATCAACACTGATAGGTGAACCAAAAGTGAAATGAAAGCTAAAAAAGTAAAAAACAGGAAAAGAGAAACTGGTAGAAACATACAAAAATGAACAACACAGTATGCCTTTAAGAAACAAGTTGCTGGTTTGGGAGGAGCAGGGAGAGATCCCCAGGACAGCTAACACTTGCTCTGGATGGCAAAAGAATGAGTTGGCTTTTGCTTACTAGATAAAACAGTGTGTAAGGCGGAGAATTTCAGGAGACTAGTGAACTGGTGCGGGGGACCCTGGGATCATGAAAGAATTGCCCTCCGAAGGCAGGTCAGGCAAAACGGCTTTGCTCTTCGGGAAGTGGGGAGGCTGTGCCAATGCCTGGAGAGCTCAGCTGTGCTGCTTGGGCTGTGGATGTGCTTCCAGGTACCGATAGCAGTGGTGCTATGGCGAGAAGGACCAGGAGGACCAAGCCTCTCTAGTTGTTCTAGGCAGGAACCAGAATTGCTTCTCTCCCACTTCCCAAAGGTGACCACACAGGCTTTGGCATCAGACAGCCTGGGTTCAAACCTAGCTCTGCCATGTGACCTTACTGAAGCAACTCTGAGCTTTTGTGTCCTGATCCCTAAAAGAGGGATTAACAAAATGCCTATCTCTTCTAATGAGGTAAAGTACTCTAGCACTGTGCCTGGCACATAGTAAATGCTCAATAAATGCTGCCTCTTCTTTTTAGTTCTTATTTATAGCTTTTCTTCACATTTGGAATTTACTTTTCTTTTAGGTCTTGGAGGGGGTTATAAAGAGATTTTCCCCCAGGGCTTTGGTACTCTTAACATTTCTAAGCTCATTGCTGAGTATATATGGAGTCCAGCTACCACCTCTGATCCTCTGAGTTATAAAATACTGTACTTTGGTCTCCTTAGTCCACGAATTAGAAATATGTTAGCAATTTCCAGGCATAGATTTTTTTTAAAAGGCATCATTGTATTTGCCTTCTCAGTACATTTCCTTCAGCTCTCAGGAGTTCTGAATAAAATTGAGAAACATTCCCTGCCCTCTCCCACTCACTGCCCTTGGATCGCTGCAGTGACCTCGTTGTGAGCAGGAATCACATCTGCTCCCATTTTTATGTTGCCCAAGCCAGTGGCCTGACCTCTGACTGTGTGATATTATCTCTCTTCATGTGCCTTTGAAGAGAGACGCTATCTCTATAATGAGGGTAAATAGAAAAGAGGTTCCTTGGCTGGTGGTGGGTGATGGGTGATGGCCAGCTTGCCATGTCGCTTTCACTCCTGAGATCAGCTTGGGTATTCTGAGGGACCTGCACTTCTTGTTTAGTCCCGCTGCCATAAGAACTTGGGATTTTGAAGGCAGAGGGTGGACCGATGTGGTCTTAGATATGTGTAGAGTCTCATTTGCAAACAAAAATGATGTATGGAATTCTATTAAATATTAGAGACTAGAAGCTAGTTGGTTGCAGTTGAATAAGGGACTCAACTGAAGAAGCAAGATGGAAAAATTAAGAGGTGCAGGCTGGCAGGGATGGTGGAGCCTGTTCTGGAGGAAGAGGGAGCCTTAGTGACAGAAATGGGCTGTGAGTAGGACCAGCTCAGCTCTGTGCAAGCAGGTGCTGGTTTGCGGGCCCCACCCCACATCATGTCAAACAAACTGAAATGTACCCACATCTCACACTTCATATAATCGATCTGCACTATGAAGGATGTGATTTCAGTTGCAACTGATAGAATAACACAATGTTAGTCTGTAGATACTTAGTTGGATATTTAATTTCGATTGCGTAGTTTTCATTCTGTATATTAAAGCAACTTCATCTATTCGGGTCTGCAATATTTTGGGGATCTCTTGCAAAGCTGGTTATAGGGCCATCGCTCATAGAGGGTGACGGATAAAGCAGACCCCCCTGTAGTAGACTGAGAAGGTGGAAGCGTAAAAGTGGAAGAAGAGCAAGTATGTATTGCTGTTGGGGGTGTGCGCGGTAGGATGTTTCCTGACCCCAGATGATAACCAGGGTGATAACCCACATCGGGTTGTGTTGGCAGGAGGGAGCGTGGAAGTGTCCAGTACTGCCTCCCCTAGTGACATGCCGGTGCAACCTCCTTACATAGGATTTCCCGCGGAGACGCAGGCTTGGGCCCTGCTCCATTTGGGGCGAGTCTGCACTCCACTGCTCAGACAAGGTCAGCTTCCCCTAACCATCTGGGTGCCCCGGCTGATTCCCGCAGGAGTCTGGGAGTGCTAATTTAGGCTGTGAATTCTGCAAATGCAATGGCACATTTTTCAGCCCTGAAGAAGTGGTAATAAGAAAGCTCTCTGTCATGACCCAGAGCTTCCTTAATGATCGCCTAACTGCCAAATGCAGACCTGATTTGCTTAGCACAGTACAAAATCAATCCACGACTGCAAGAAATGTCAAGCTGGATTTTTTTTTGCCTCAAGTTAATGACTTGTCATCCTAGAAAAAATGTCTAATCAAAGATGAATTTAAATATCTTGCATTTGTGTTTCCATAAAGAGTATATGGGGAGGGGGTGTTATTTTTCTTATAAAAGCATAATAGAAAGGTAACCTTTCTTTACAGCTTGCAAGGGGTAAGAGTGAAGATCTTTCCACCCTGAGCTCTGTTACCTTAAGAGTCCAGTGAGGTCCTTATGGGTCAGGAGACCCAACTGTCCCTATAATCCCTGCAGGTCCCCTGGGGTTTTAAAGACCAGTCAAATCCACCTCTTGAAGAAGAAATGGGTTTTCGATAAAAACTGAATTAAATTGAAGACCCTTATATGTGTGCACTGAGAAACATTTTTTTTTCTTGCAGGATAGATTAGTGAAATTTGAACTGAATTATTTGAATTAAAACTCTTTTGCATCCAAGTGAATAATTATTACCCAGTCATTATCTAGTCAGGAACATCAAACATTTGTTATTCAAAGAAACTCAATTTAACAAGGGAATAATATTTTTCATTTATGCTTTTATCTGTTTAATGCATGTTTTTGTCCCATTTTAGATGAAGAAAGAGTAAAAATTCAGCATTTGAATTTCAGTCATGTTCTGCATCCTGAGGGAGAACAATTCATGTTTGGGGGGAAATTAGCTGTTAATTAAAATGTTATTTTAAAGATATTAATCATTTGTCAGTACTTATGCCTTTGTATGAGAACATTAAAATGTGCTAGTTAGTAGATACACATCACATAATTGCCCAAGTGCTTGTTTGTGGAACACCTGCTTATTATTTCTGGAATGGTCAACCAAAGACTGTGCTTGAAAGAACAATGAACAATTAGGGCTTCAGCTCCACCATGCACTGAAAGTTTAGAAAGTCCCTTAATGTCTCTGAGACTCAGTTTACTTAACTTCTTAATGGGAATACCAAGACTATTTCACAGGGCTGGTGGTTGTTCAACTAATTGCTGCTATTGCTTTGTGCCAACTTAACCACTTTCTTTTGCCTGGTTGCCCTTCTCACCATTGCCAGGCACTTGCTTGACAGTTGGTGAAAGTTGAGAATAACATCTGTGGCCGTGGGATCAGGAGAAGTTAACTGTCCCACAACTTTGGCCTCATTAGCACTGTGTTCTGAGTCACCAGGCTAACCTGTCTGGTTACAGTTTACATGTTTAGGAATGGAGAAATTATATCCCCATTGCAAACCTGCAATTTACTTTCCTGAAGAATTCTGTTTAATTATGAAACATCCAGAGATACACAAAAAGAGGAAAGCTGTTTAATAAACCTCCATAGACCCATCACCCAGATACAATTATTAAGATTTTGCCACACACGCTTCAACTATCCCACTCTCTTTTTTGGCTGAATTATTTCAAAGCCAACTCCAGCCTTCATATCCTTTCACTCCTTCCGTATGCATCTCCAAAAATATGGATTTTTCTTGCAAAGTCATCATGCCATTATCATGCCTAATCAAATTGACCATACGTCTTTGCCATCATTCTGACACCCAGTGCATATTAATCTTTTTCCAGTTGTCGTAAAAATTTATTTTTATACTTGTATTGTTCCAAACAAGATCCATACATTGCATTGGCTTGTTGTTTCTAAAGGCATTTTGAATGGGAAGACAAAATAGGTGAAAATTTTCATTGTTCATTGTCCTGCACCATATATTATGATTAGTTTGAAATAACTGCATAAAATATAAACATCCCTTCTCAAGATAAATTTATCCAAAATGGAAATTTGCTTCAGGAATTGAAGATATTGCTATAGGCTTAGAGAAAAAAGTGTTAACTTCAATTTATTGGGGCCAATGAACCCCCAAAAGCGTTGTGTTTGTCTGTATTTTCTCCAGTGATATCACTGTTTGTAGAATCAGCAATGTAAGATAATTGCTTTCAGATAGCTGGACACACCATTAGAGACAGAGAGATGAAATTAAAACCATGAAATTGTTTCTATGGATCTCTAGAAATGTAATTATCTCTCCAGTGGAAAAGAGACACAAAAAACTGCGTTCTGTTTTCTGTTTGCCTCCTGTGAAGAGAAGGCACTTAAATTATAAACTATCAAGTCCATATATTTGAAGCTTGATACTTTTTGGGTTTTTTTTTTAAGGAGCTGCTTAAAATTTATGTCATTCAAGAAAACTACCTGCACGGTATTTAAAAATCTCAACTTTACTTCGTAATCAATTATATCGGTAACAAGTATTTCTGTAGAAATTGGCATGAACTATCATACTATACATGCACATTATTCCATTGGTTATAACCTAACCAATTTATAAAAATGTTTAGATAGAGCACATATGCTTTATCATACGGAACCTGAGGGATACTCCTAGTGGTGAGGATACTGAATAAAATCTACTTCCTCGATGTCCCTAAGTAGCTACATCAGAAGTTTAATGAGACTCTTCAGAGTGGTGGCAATCCCCCTGCACTGAGAGGCAAATACGTTACGAGGGCCATCTAGGTCCAGATAGTGGATGGAGGTTGTTTTGCCCCCAGTGGAGAACAGAAATCAAACCTTTAGGGTCACGGTGAGAGTGGTAGAGAGAGAACAGAAGATTGAACTGCCTCTTAGAGCAGAAGAAAGCTGAGCCCCCCATCCCCTTCCACCAGGCTCTTTCTCCCCTAGGCAAGGAGCAGCCCTATGTGTTCACATACCGTTTGCCACTTGGCTTTTGATCGCTCTGCTTCAAATTTGGCAACTTCTTTACGATCATGAAATGACACCAGCAACTTCCAGATGCACAGTAGGACCACCCCGATGAGAAGACTAGCCAGCGAAACCCCCAACATGATCATGGGAATGTTTGGTGGTTTTGGACAATCTGTGGAAACAAAGAAAATTATGATAAGAAGGTGGTACAATTAACGTTTTGATGTAGGAAAGACATTTTTCATTGGATTTTCCGTCTCCACTTTTTATGCAGTAGAGGGTAAATGTTGACACCTTTTTGTCTGCTGAAATTTTAAAAAATGAGTGACTTATGAAGGATAGCCCTACATCCCTTCAAAGTAGAACAAAAGATGAAGGAAGAGTTTAGTTATTCAAAGTAAATGGATACACACTTGATGGCTAACTTAAGATTTAGAATCCAGAAGAGTGACAATTAATGCACATGGAATATTTAAAGGACCAAGAACAAGGCTAGTTTTATCACTAAAGATGGTCTCTTCTGAGTACATAATAAGGTAGAAATGAAATGTGTGTGTATGGTGAACGTAATTACTTTTCCACGGATCTTCTTGAATCATGCGCAGTCTAGGAGATTATATTAAAAATTATATACAACCTATCTCTTGAAAGATTACTATTTAATGCCCTTTTTTTTAAATAGAAGACAATGGTGGCTTTCAGTTTTATTTTGTTGAATCCTAATGCAGTGCTATGGATTCCTGGAAAGTTCCTGGACCAGAGTCAGGAGAGGTGAGTTCAGTTCCCATCTGATGTACAGTAGCTGTGTGAATTCCACCCAGTCCCTCGATATCTCTGAGCCTCAGGACCTTTATCTATAAAACAAAGTTCAGTGTTTCTCGAACTTTCCTGATGATAACAATAAGCTAAACCCACAGCCTCCTAGACGACCTCCAAAAGATTCTGATTCAGTGGGCCTTGGATGAGGCCACAGATTTTTTTTTATAGTTAAAGATATTTCAAGTGATTCTTATCTTCAGAGAAGTTTGGGAAATTAGATGTTCTATATGGTCCTTTGAACTCGAATATCCTATGAAATGTTATTTTGACTCCATTTATGGTATTAATATAATTTTGCAATTATACAATACCTTCCCTCATTGACAGCAGAATAACTAATAATCCTTGCAATATGCCTAGGAGGTGATACATTTGTTAATGAAACATTGTAATTAAGCTCTCCTCTTGCTTTTGGGGAAAAAAAATCTCACATAGAAATTATCATTAAATATCTGCATCCCTCTGCAAGAAGCGAGGCAAAATCCACAGTATCTCAGGAGGAAATGAATCATTCTTAGTTTATCCTCTTATTGCTTTTATATATTTAATAAGGAGAGCGAAACACATAGGACTAGTCATGCTGCTTTTAAGGTAAGGATCTATAGCCAATCTGAATCTGAGTGGGACTAATGACGCCCTAACAGCAGGATGCCTGGCCTCACACACTTTTATTCTTTGGCCAAGAAACCATGCAAAGAGATTATGCAAAAATAAGTAAAGGAGCTAATGACATAGCTATTATCGTAAGAAGATCTAGAGACTGTAATTCTAGCATAGCAAAAGAACCATGGCTGCCTCTAATAGGCTAGCAACACTCCTGCAAAGAAAGTATTAACAGCAGGCTCATGTCAATGAGAATATACACTGGCTACATCTTTGGCTAAGAAATGTCTGGGGTGGGGTGTAGCATGCTCCTGCTCATAGCAAGATGAAGCTTGCTAAGACCCTGCAGCCAGACGTGAATTAGGAGGGCTCTCCAGTAGGGAATAAAGGAGGAATGGGTGCAGACTGGCAGAGATAATTATTTGAAGAAATTAAGGCCATTGGGAATTGTACATTTCTCAAAAAAAGATTTTGGTCCAAGTGCCAGCGCAGGTCTTACACAACAGAGATCTTCACCCTTCATACTCTGATATTTCTTGAGACTGAAGACAGATTTCTTGGTGGGAGAAGAGAGTCGCCTCTATCACTGTGTGCAATGTGCACTGTTCCCCTTTTTCTGACCTCAGGTTGAGGTTGGTGCTGCACCTGCTTCTAAGGTCCTGAGGATCTAACCTTGCTGTGCTGCCCGACCTGGTAGCTCTACCACACCTGCCTATTGAGCGCTTGAAATGTGACTTTTCCGAATTAAGTTGTGCTGCCAGTGATAAATTACACACTCATTTTGAACACTTAGTTATGGAAAAAATGTCAAATATCTCATTAATAATTTTCATGTTGATTACATTTTGAAATGACAATATTTTGGATAGAATGGTAAATAGAATTCATTTCACCTGTTTCTTTTTACTTTCTAATGTGGATACTAGAAGATTTAAAATCACATAAATGGTTTGCATAACAGTTCCGTTGGACAACGCTGATCTAACACATCATTTTGCCATTCAGGTACTTATTATGATTGTGCAGCCAGTGGGAGGCAGTATAGTATAGTGGTTAAGAGCATGGGCTCCAAGCCAGACTGCGAGAGTTCCTCAACCAGCCCCGGCACTTAATTACTGCAAGACTTAGCAAATTATTTAATGTCTCCATGCCTCAATTTCCTTATCTGTAAAACAAAAATAATAGTAGTACTTGCTTTATATGGTTGTTGAGGATATTAAGTGAATTAGTATATGTAAAACATATAGAACAACATCTGGCATATGGTGTTAGTAAGGGCTTAATAAATGAGAGCTATTATCTTCTTATTAATATTCCTATTGTTACAACAAATGCACTCTTCTGGAACCTTCTAGCAGGAAGTTACCTTCCAGCCAGGAAGGCTCCCCAACTCTCATTCCTTGACTCTGATGTGGCTCTTAAGCTCTGAAATTCCTTCCAGATGTAAGAAAGAAGATGAATGGAGCTCTGCCTATGTCCACAAGCACCCTGGTGGTGACTCTTCACTCAGTTTCTTTTTCAATTTGCTTGGAGGACCCTGGGAATCATTAACCTCCCCCACCCCTTCCTCCTTTCTCATTTTGCCTCTTTTCGATCCAAGCCTCCAACTGGCCACCTAGGGATTCTCTGGTCTTAAAGCTGTGAGAGGGGAGGGACTATCGATTTCTGGGGTGGGCAGGATCTCCTCTCCTGGCAGCTGGAAGTGCCAGGCCTACCCAACAATGTGAGTATGTTTTGAGGAAGAGGCATCCTTGAAGCTGTCAGGTGACTCCTGTTAAGCCTCGGGAGGTAATTTTTTCCCTCACTCTTCCGGACTACAAAAGCATAGGGCTAATAACAAACTGCCACGATAAAAAGGCATCGGGGCATCTGTGCTCTGAAGGATGGCACACCGATGTGCCACTCATACTGTGTGGAAGAACAAAAGAATAGAAAACAGTTCGATAATGAGGAGGCATTTATCAGCCAAAAGCATGTTTCACTGAGAAAAAAAAAATCGCCAACTAGATACAAAAGCCTCCAAACTAAAAACAGGGCTTTTTCTGGAAATTTTTGTTGTTTGGACCTCATTTTTTCAACAGAATTAGTATTATCAGGGATGGCTTTGATTTCAAGATAGCTAAAACTACCGCCACAGTCACAAACAGGGGTTGGGTGTAGCTGGAGAATTTGACTTCATGAGACAGATAATGAGGAGGCAAGTGGTGTTGTATTATAAAGTAATTCTTCCTGGCACAGCAGCCTTCACCTTATGCTTCCTAAACTAATGGCCTTAAGACGTATTTTTTGTATGCATTTCAAAGAAGTCAATTTACTTGAGATTTTTCAAGAGCAAGTCTCCTGGAGCACTCTGCCCACCGGAGCTTCAAGGCCAAGTTCACAATCATCTTCGCATTTCTTGGATTGTGCCAGCCTCTCTCTCTCCCTCTCCCTCAGCACTGTGATGGGATATTTTTCTGATCATGTTTTCTTGATTGGATTATAATGTCTTGAACCTAACTTTTGGTTACCTTGGCATTGCTTTGGTTGTTATGCTATGTGATATCAATTTGATACTTTCGGTTTCAAATTCAGGATTTACTATTTTATCAGCACATGGTAAACAAGTACACGTAACAACACACAGCTGCCTTTTAGCCTGCCCTTGCCCTATCGTCTGAGACAGAACTTAAGCTCCAAGCTCTTTGTGGGAGAAGGAGGTTGCCGACAAGGTCTCATGAGGTCTGACTTGATGCAGCTGTCATGTCTGCAGGAACGGGTTGGAGAGAAACACATCATTAATTGAAGACAGAAAATGTGAGGCACCTGTGAGTACGTGGGAACGCAGCCAGGGCTGTTAGGGCGGTCACTCAAGGGGAGATCTGGGGACCATTCGGATCAGAGTCGCCAGGGGCATTTGTTAAAATGCAGGGTCCTGGGCCAAACGTCAGGTCTGCTGACTCAGGATATAGGCATGTTTAACAAGCTTCCCAGGTGAGTCCGACACCCACTAAAATTTGAAAACTTCTCAACAAAAGTACCTTCTCCATTATTTTCTTCTCTACTTAATATAAACTTTGCACTGAATATGAAATTTTTATTTGAGGGTTTTCCAAATCCCAAACTGACTCAATGAGTTGGTGTGGATGAAAACCCACAGGAGCGATGGACCGCTTGATATCCTTCATAGACCACAGCCTTCCTCACTTGCTGCTTTGAGTCTTTTCTGACTCAGCATTATCATTCAATGACCCATTACTGTAAGTTACATGTTGCCACGTATTTCACGTGCATCATTTCACTTAATCCTGAGTCAACACTTAGAAGAAAGTACTATTGTCTTTCCCATTTTACAGATGAGGGAACAGAGACCCAAAGAAACAAGTATCTTCCAGAATGTCAAGCAGCTATTAATTAGATTTGAACCAAGGTTTGCCTGATTCAAACTCACTTTTAAAAACTGCTACACACCTCTCTGTTAGCCTTTCCTGAAGACATACCTTTCGTTTACATTTCATTTAATCCGCTCACGTTTCTACAATTCATCACCAGCTTTCAGGGAGATGATGATTGGTGCAAATACAAGTCATCTTGTTATCTGGTCTTAATAAGAGACACTGGAACACATCAAACCTTTTAACAGACATCTTTCAATCCTTGGGAAAGTAGAAGCACTCCATCAAAAACTTGGAAATGTCTTTCCTGACAAGCTGCCCAAAGTGACTTCCTGGTTGTTTTCTCTTCTCCCACATAGTATCACTTGACACTGACAACGGAAGGCAAACCACCCACCTTTTCCATTGATGCTGTGAATGATGGTTCTCCCCTCATTATCTGTAGTTATTAGGAATGTAATAAGACATTCATTTTCTCCTTGCAGAGAGCAGAAAACAGAACTATCCTTTGAGAAATCTGCAGATAAAGGAGTCATTCATTAGGTTAAATGAGATTCCAAAAAAGATTATTTTTAAAGCAAAGTAGTGAGTTTAATATGCAAACTAGAATTTTCAATATTGCAGAATAGGAGTAGAAAAGGCATAGGTTTTTTTCCCAAGTCAGGTTTTAGTTTTTGCTCACGTTCCAGAAGAATAGCTCCAGATGTGGTCAATCAGGACTGACCATCAAATGTACCTCTCAAACCGATGTGGGCAGGATTTCAATAAAGTGAAAGTACTTCAAGGCAGGTATCCACAGCTGTCTTGGGAATAGAATGGCCCTGATTATGGTAATGAGGGGGCTATGTGTTCTTCCTTGCTGAGAGCATCTGGAAGGATGTCTAAATTACATTTTTGCATAGTACAAACTGATACTGATACTTTTAAAGGGGCCTTTCTCCCAGTGGCATAATCAAGATTGCTGCCCATATACAGTCACAACAGTAAATATAAATTAATATCGGGAAACTGAGACCAAAGTGTTATGTAGCTCAGGGACCAGCAGGATAAAGACAAAGGAACACAGAATGAGAGTTTGCCTATCATTCAGTATAGCTTCTTTCTTAATTAAAAAAATAATACAGTTTTCCTCAAATATTTTCCAAATGGAAATTTTTTCTTATTGAGTTTATTCAAGAGGCAGAAAATAAATGCAATGACAGAAATAGAAAATAAAGTAAAAGGGCCAATCTGAGATGTCAGTACTGTTTATCAGAAATTCTAGTGGTCTAGCTCCTAGGCCAAAATTATGCAGCATTTTCTGAATTCAAAACAAAACAAAAACAAAACTTGATTAACAGTTCTCCTATCTTTTAAGTTGGAGACTTTTCAATGATAGTTACAAACGCTTTTTTAGAAACCTGTAAATAGCATGAGTTTGCTCTAAATCTAAACTTTTAAGACATGTGGTCCAATATTAACGTGTTATGACACAACGAGTTAGAATGTTAGATCTGGGACTGTCCCAGATAATCTTGGACATGTTCTTCCTAGGCTTATAACCTCTCTCATTAGTTTAAAAATAAAAAAGTGTTACTAAAACAGAATCTACATGTGTTTCCCTGATGCTAACAAAGAAAAATTAAATCATAGCCTATTTTTGGTATAAAAATGCCATATCCATAGAAAGATAAAAATACTAAGTTGTTGTTTTTTGCATTTAATTTATAAGATAAAAGCCTGACAGGGTCTGTGAGAAGTATACCTTGTATTAGCTATTAAAACAGGGACTAGTAAAACATCTAGCATTATCAATAAGATTTCAGGTGATAGATTTAAGTGCACAGTTTTTGAACCCAATAGAAGCATCTATTACATGGGAATATTAAGAAATCTAATTACAAATCATTCTAATCTGGTCATTCCCAAATATTTGCAATCATCTAAATCACCTGGGAGTTTTGAAAATATAGATTCTGGGGACTCAGCCCTGAGTATGCATGCCAGAGGGGTTGGTAGTATGCATGGGAGCGTGTACATTTAGGGAGCTGTTTAATAAGCATTTTTAAGAAGATGATTCTGATTAAGAGATTTGGGATCCTCTGGGCAACACTTGATTAGTGAGATTTGTGTTATTTCATGTGTTCGATTGCACACGGCACTGCATATGTAAGTCACACTTTGGTTATTTTTACATGGCCTTCACTGCACCCCTTGTTACATCGTCATTCCAATTAACTAGGAATCATTAAGTCTTGGGGACTATGCTTTTTCTTACTGGAGTGTTTTCTTCCTTCTTCTGCCCCTCTCTGCCATAACAGTGGCAGTAGGCTCACTCTGCTCGCCTGAATATATTTAATGGAACATTTTATTCTCAGGTAGAAAATATGTGGATGGCTTATCATACTGTGTTCAGTAATATTAATCTTGCTTTTTTATTTTCTTTCAAATAGGTGCACTGAAGCCCAGGGAGCCTTGCTTTACTTGCCAGGATTATTTAAAGTTTTAATGGAACTGAGACTATGACCTCTGAGTCACAGTCCTGTACTGCTTTAATTACTTTGGTCCTTTTCATGACTGTTACAGCTCTAGATGTAGCCCGTTCTGTAGTGTTTTGGTATTGAAATTGTATTATCAAATGTGCAACGAAAGATTTGCATAATTAGCTGCTAAGGTTTTCTTTTGTTGTTCATAAAAAAATGGATCTTTCTTTCTTACCCTCCTTTGTGAATGCCAGTAGTTGCTCCTCTAGAATAATACAATGAAAATGAGATCTCAGGCAGTCCATGAAATCATACTTAGAGAAGGAAGAAATGTAGAACAGGACTGAAGAGGTAGAGTCTGGGAAGGTCCAAGAAGGATGTGGAACATTTAAACCTTCTGCACCACTAAGTTAAGACGAACATGCATTTAAGACCTCGGCTCTGGGATCAGTTAGCAGTTCTCAAAGAAAATAGTTTCCCAAGGGGAAAAAACAAGGTGCTATGGTCAAATAAGTTTGGGAATTTCTCTTTTACTTTAATTCCTCCCTTTGCCTCTCCTAATGATTCACAATACACATTTAATTTAATGTGCATAACAACTCTCAGAAGTCTTGCAAAAAAATTTAAAACGTAGTTTCCCATTTCCAAAATTTATATGATCCTGGGAGCTTTTTTCCGTTTGATGCTTTCAGAGCTGGTGTTCCGTGAAATATACTTTGAGTAACAATGCTCTGAGTACATAAATGTTGGAGTAAATCAAAAGCATGACTTAGTAAAATGGAATGAATGCGGTCAAGTCTCATCCTTAAATGTGTCCACCCAGGTTACCCACAGCAGAATTGAGGAACAATTCATACAGATTATAAAGTTAAGCTTAGTTTAATTTACTCTCCATGACCTCGTTGGGGGAAGGATGTTTTGCTAAAAGACCCTGTGGAAGAGCAAATATGGTGTGATAATTTCAGGGGGGTATGATCAATGGCATAACTGGGTGAGTAACTGGAAACAGGACTTATAAAAGGGCTCATAAAAAACGTGACTTTTTAAATCACAGTCTGACAAATACATTTTTTTTCTTTCAAATTCATCCAGATTAGTGCTTTAAGTGGTATTAGTAATCCAATTATTATTTTCCATTTCTGGGTTAGAAATAGTTGTATCCCCATCTTTTGAAGACAATTTAGTCACATATGCAAAAAGAATAATGTAAATATTTTAAATGCCACTTGAGCCCTTGTCTTCCTCTTAAATCCAAGCATTTATGATAATCTATTCAGAAAATTATACACCTAAATATAGTACTAATAACTACATGGTTCACACCATCATGATTTACATGTTTGTGAGGTTTACTCTGTTTTCCCTCAACACATTAGGTTTCCCATGTTGCTAGTGAATTCAGTCCTAGTAATTTGCAGTGCATTTTCTGCAATTTTTACTCATTTCTGGGAAATACTTGGTAAATATCCCCACTGCTTGCTATGAAATGAACCCAGAAGGCTATGCTGAGACTCTACACTAGTTACTAATGTGGACAGTCCACAAATGCTGCCTTCCTCAGTGTTTTAATGTATCTTACCTTTGGTATTAGTGTAAGGCACACACCATCTTGTCCAATTTACTGCTATTTGGCATGTTTATCTTTGGTCACCAGAAAAGCACAGATGAGGGATTCATGAGCACTAATCCTGTCCCTCCATCTAGGGCAATGCAACTGTGCAGACAGAACTCTCAATTTTCAAACAATGTAAGTCATTTTCAAAGCAATATAAAAGTCATTAACTTATTCCATTTTGGAAACAAATTAATTTCCATATTCTAATTCCATCTATTCAAGATACATATCTTAGAGGGCCACAAATTATTGTCTTGATTACTTCGCTTCACCTGAGATACATCCTGGTCACATCGCTAATGAATGCAGAGTAGCGATTCTACTTGAGCAGCATGATAATGCAGACAGTTTGGGATGATACAAAACTGAATTCTCCCAGATTGTCTGTATAGGAAGAGTCCATCATATTCTTTGTTTTAAAGTTCAGAAACTATTTTTTAAATAGCCTTCCCAGCTAAAACACAAGCTAAATAAATGAGGTGAAATTTTGCCATTAGAAAGAATCTGATTTTAAGTAATTAGATTTAAAATGACAGATGAAAGCAAGAGCAGAGTTTGCTCAGCAGTTAAAGGTAACAGGCCCTTCTTGTATTTTGGGAATCAAGCAACATGGAATTAAGGGTGGTCATGTAATACCCAGGTTTGGAAGGTTGGGAGTAAAGGCACATTGAGGGGGATGGTCGCTGACCACTGACCAGAGCCTGCCCAGTATCTGGGAGCTGCTGTCAGGAACACGGTTCTACAGCTGGCTTTACCTTATCTTGAAATAAGGCAATCAGATGACAGAGGACAATTTCAGGTTTGGAGGCTAACATTTAGCCATTTTCTCAATTTTCTTTCTTTCTACTTTGAAAAATATAGCATTCTGGAACCTCTACAATTGCATTTGCTAAGCAGAGGTGAACTTGCCAACAGAACTGAGGCCAAATACAATAGCCATGACTTTAAATTGCTCGTGTCCTGTCCCAAGCCATCAAGCTTTTAGCCTTATAGAATGCATTTACTCTTCAAAAATGAATGTGAGTGAGTTAATGCCCTGGTACGAATAAGGCTGAGCTACTAAAAAGCCTTTGATTCACACAGTTTCAGGAACTATGCCTCTTAAGAACTATGTAAAGGAAATAAAAGCAATTTAAGACAAGTAGAACCTTCTTCTTCACTGATGGTCACACCAGCTAGTTTGCATTTGTCCACACATTCTTCTTGGGCCCGGCCATCTGCAGACAGGTAGCATTCAATGCAGCTCCTGTGGACAGTATTCAACAGTTCATGTCAGTTCATGTTGGTGGGATATAGATATGCAGCTGGAATATTGCTTTACTGTTGCTGCAGTTTGTGCTACAGGAGTGTCTCCTAGGTGACATTATCTTTTGTTACTTTCGGAAAGATAGTTGAGTGATATTGAGGAGAACACTAAATTATTCTGAATTTACTCAGTAATCAATGGTTCCCAAGCTGTTCTTGATACTAGCTACTATACTCTTTATCTGTAATGATTGCTTCTGATTGGTTAAGTTAAAAAAAATAAAAACCACGAAAACCAATTGATTTAGCTATGCTTTCATTTTACTTTTTCTTAAGGATATCTTATGTTCCTAAAATATAATTAGAGACTAGACAGAGTTTTTAATTTCTTAAAAGAAATGGTCTATATCTTAACTAGAATTCTAAGAATGATGAATGGTCTTTGTATATGTCACATATGATTATTTTTAAAACTCACTTTTCTGTAATTCTTTTTGAGTAAGTCCAAGCCTCGATGAGGGTATTTTCAAAAGGAGGTTTAGAGCCCGGATCCTCATTAATACAGGTTTCTAAATTAAAAATTATTACTTACAGGACAAGTATATTTCCAAGAACATAGTCCAAGAATTAAACTACTCTAAAGGTGTCTATAGAGCAAAGTAAAATTCACATCTCGAATTAATCTTGTGCTGAAAAATCACTTTACAAATAGATTGCTCTTGGAAGTAACCCGAAACAGCAAAAATTTTCTCACTGTGGACACATCATGGGGCCTCTCTCTGCCTCCCTGGAAATGTGCGTTATTCTAAGTGCTTGAAACCCCCCCACCCGACTCATGCCTCAGCAAATCTCAGCTGAAACTGCACTCCCTTAGCCACGCCTTCACTAACCCTTAGACCAGTCAATTCCTTGCGATGGAAGCCTCAGGATTTCCTACAGGAAGGGTGTAGGAGCCTCAACCTATGTGGCAATAGGGATATAGGCTTTGCTGTGAAGTTGCCTTTGCATTGCAAGTATATTGCATTTATCTAGATTATTTTTTGTCTTTGTTATACGTGTCTATTTATTAATGAAAAGGAAATTATCCCCAACATCCATTTAAAAATAAGCAAAAGATATTAATAAACATTTTTCCAAAGGAGAGATAGAGGTGGCAAATAAACACATAAAAAATGTTGAATAACATAAAATATCAGAAAAATGCAATTTAAATCACAGAGAGATGCCATTATACTGCTATTAAAACAACTAAAATTAAAAAGACGGACAATACCAAGCATTGGCAAGAATGTAGAGGAAGGGAAAGGCTCACATTGCTGTTGGTGGGAATGCAAATGGGTACAGTTTAAATCACAGTTTGGTGGTGTCTTTAAAAGTGAAGCATTCACACACACTGTATTATTGGCACAGGAGAAATGTAACATACATATGCATATTAAGAATTCTATGCCTCTGTTCATAGTAGCATTATTTGTAACAGCCCCAAACTGGAAACAACCCAACTGCCCATTAAGAAATGAGTGGATAAACAAATTATGCCATATCCACAGAATAGAATACTACTCAGCAATAAAAACAATGATGAACTATTCACCTAAGCGATATTGACGAATCTCAAAATAATTATGCAGTGTGAAAAACATAAGAAACAAAGAAGAAGGAAACATTCTATGATCCCATTCACATAAAATTCTAGAAAACAAACTATTTTCTTCTTGTGAATGAAAGTAAATCACTGGATGCCTGCAGGCCTGGGGCGTGCAAGCAGAGTTTATAAAAGGGCATGAGGGGAATCACAGATATGTTCCTGATCATAATTATGATGATTTCATGAGTTTATATAACAAAATTCTTCAAATTATACACCATAAACACATATAAACTATTATATGTCACTTATGTATCAAGAAAGTTTGCAAAATATGGTTCAAAATAAAATATCTGATCTCCTACTTTTTGGAAACCAGAAGGCTTGGCAACCCCATGCTGATTGCCATATCTCTTTCCTCATGCCAGGGAAGGGCAGCCCTGCATCCATCAGTGCAGAAATTACGGGCAAGCAATGAAGGCTGTTGTGATTTGAGACAACAGTAACACTGGTGGAATCACAAAAGCTGTATCCCCAGCCTATAGGATCTGCGTTGTTTCTCTCCTCTTTTTCTCACCTCTACAGCAATGGACTTGAGGTGAACAATGCAGAAAGTCCACAAGAAGCGACAAAACCTTTAGATTATTTTAGCTGACAATGACCTCAGCTATCGGACATGCTCAGATTTCTAGGTTCTGTGACTGCTCACAGCCACAGTCGCTGGAAGATTTGTGAATGCACTTTTACAAGATGCACACTCCATCTGGTTTGTGGCAGGCTCCTCCACACCCGGTATTTCTATACCAATTGTGGTTCACACCTGACTCCCACTGTCTTCCGAGTGCCATCAGCCCATGGAATGATTGCCATCATCCTTGTAGAATCTTGTGAAAAGGCTCTCCTCAACAGAGTGGGGCATTATGTGACATCCTCCAGGAACAACGGAACAACTTCATCTTATTCCCAGAGGCAAAGGAGCATGACCCGACAGAGTGGACCTCTCCTCAGGATGACCTCCAGTCTCACAGAAAGTGTGGGGATCCAGGCCACAAATTAGGACAACAAAATCCTTGCATTGTTTCCTAGGAGATCGTGGGCAGCAAAGTAAATTTGACCACAACCAGTGAGAGAACTACTCTCTGTCATTTCATTTTTCCTACAGAAGCCCACAAAGTTGAGGTCCCCCAAAAGCTGTCCATTCCTTCATATATAGCCTGTCTGTTTTGCACCCACCCGACACAGTAAACAAAATCCCAAGATTACAAGTAGATTTGACAGTAAGGCCTTCATTAGTGCACAGACCAGAGCAATGTGAGGCAGCCAGTTACCACTCCGTGACTCACAGGCTGGAAGCATTACGAAGTGTCATGTGAAACCAAGAATTTCCGTGAAGAAGGGAAGCCTTCTACATAAGCCTCCAGCAAAACCCAGGTTGGGTCCCCTGGCCAAAACTGGGTCAGGTGTATGCTTTTAATCAGGCAGAAAAAGGAATGAATTCCCCCTAAAGGCTCCGACTGTTCAAGATTTCCTCCAGGGAATGAGCACAGACGCTTGCCTTGCCTTAAGCACCTCAGGGTGACCGATGGCCACTGTACAAGGTGGTAGAGGGAGATGGCTTCTACCAGAGAAACTGGCAGTGATTTCACTCTGGCAAGGGCCCTGGGTAGCTTAGAATATGCAGAGCAGCGCCTGTAATCCTCACGCAGGCCTGGAACTCATGGGGAATCTACCCCCTCTGGAGATTTGAAAGTATGAGGTTCAACTTCAGGCAGATGGCTCCTCACAAAGGCTCTGTGGAGCCAGAATACTGAAGAGGCAGCACATTCCTGGAAGGTCTAAGGTCTTTCTCAAGTGTGGACATTCAGGAGCTAAACAATGTTAGACTTGGAGTTAAAGGCTTTTCCACATTTGCTGCATTCATGAGCCCTCTCGTGTTGTGACTTTTCTGGTGGTGAATAAGGCTGGAACATTGGCTACAGGGATTCCCACAGTTGCCACATTCATCTTTTCTCCATTGTGAACAACCTGGTGTTGAATGAGGCCAGACTTTTGTCTAAAGGACTTTCCATGCTGGCCACACTCATAAGGCCTTGCTGCAGTATCAGTTCTCCGGCACTGAACAAGGATGGAGCTCTGACTGAAAGGTCTCCCACATGCGCTGCACTTATAAGGCCTTTCTCCAGTGTGAACTCTTTGGTGTTTAACAAGCGTGGCTTTTTGGCTAAAGGGTTTCCCATACTGGCCACACTCATAAGGCCTTGCTCCAGGGTGAATTTTCTGGTGGTCAACAAGGCTGGAGTCCTGTGTAAAGAATTTTCCACATGTGCTGCACTCCCAAGGCCTGTCTCCAGTATGGTGCTGAACAAGTACTTGCCGCAGAAGGTTTTCCCACATTGGCTACACTCATAAAGCTTTTTTTCAGAGCAGACTCCTGGGCGGTGAACAGGGTCATGTTTGTGCCTGGGAGATTTCCCACATTCACTGGACTCGTCATGGCTTTTTTGACTGTGAATGTCCTTCCCACGCTTGGTGATTTTTTTGGGCTTCTCACCTTAGGTAGAGTCTAGGGACCTCAGAAGCCCCTACCCCCTGGCTAGGAGGTCCTTCCCAACTTCCCACCTAGGGAAGGTTGTCCCTGCTAACTGGAGTAGGCGGCGCCTTACATGTGAGGTTCTGTCCACGTGGCTCTTCAAGGGTTTCTTTGCCGCCGAATGCTTCTGGTGCTGGTGACAGTTTGCACATGCTCCAATCAAGCAGGGTTTCTGCTCAGATAGATCAGCCAGCAAAATATCTTTCAGGATCGGGACACACATCTCACAGGCGTGAGTCTTCTGGGTGGATGGACCTGCCTTAGACTGTGACGCTCCTACAGCAACATTCTGTTCAGAAGGCGTCTCCTCATCCTCTGTTCCACGCTCACAACCCCGCGAGGCTGCAAGTGCAAAGTTCTCCAGCATCACTTCAGCGTACAGGAGCCTCTGAGCCTCATCTAGAAGTTCCCATTCTTCCTGTGAGAAGTAAATGGTGATGTCCTCAAAGATCACACAGCCCTTTGTGAGGTTCATGTGTGCTTCGGTAGTCATGGAAACCTGAGCTGAGACACTCAGTGCAGCCACCGCCACCATTCGTCTGTGGGCGGCTCAGAGTCAGAAGTGGAGGGCGATGGGGACGAGGACCCGGGAAAGCAGCTGTCACCACCACCACCATGACCACAGCTGACCCTCAGACCACCCGCTGTGCAGCGGGGAGGATTCTTTCCCTTGTGCCTTCCTGTTCTGGTACCTCTCGCCAAACAAAGCGCTCCCAAAATTCTGATGGCGTGGATGGACTCAAGAGCTGCTAAGAAACTTCCCTAGATTATATATTTGTTTGGAGTGGCTTTGCAGAGGCCTGGTGAAGATCTTAAAATCTCTACCCCTTTCTGCATGTGATGGCTGCACCAGCTGGTCTGGTAGCCCTATCCGCTGCCATATAGTCCCACAGTACCCTCTATGTCCCCATTACAACTGTCAGCCCAGATAGGGTCACAATCGCTTAAAAAAGTCTGTCTTTCCCACTAGACTTTCAGAAGCTGTGAATACAGGAACTATAACTGTTTCAGTTGTTACTATATACCCATGGCCTAACATGATTCCTGGCATATAGTAGGTACTTAATACCTATTTGACCTATTCGATAAATGAATACCTGCATGAATAAATGGAAAAATGGACTCATCTCAAAATTCACTTAAACACCAAGGAGATCCTCTACCTGATTCCCCAAATTCAAACTATTTTGATTGTTAATTTAGTATCTTATAAATCAGATTTAAGATTGAATCATGTTCACAGAGAAGATGAAATAGAAAAGTAATAAAAGAAACATCTTGACAGGACATTTTACGTTAGATTCTATTCAAATAATTCTAATCAAGTCCCCATGCTTCTCCTGGCACATGTATTAGTTTGCCAGAGAAGTTTTGACACCTGTATGGTGAATAACCACTGAGTGAAAAATTGATTTTATCACTCTATTTACATCAGAAATGCAAATGTCACCATTTTGGGGACCAGAGTTAATGAAAATATGAACTGCTTAAGCATATCTGCTGCATAATATATTATATACTGCAGTATCATAACAACCTTTCTGGAGACTTGCTTCACTTGAGCTACAAATTTTGCCCCAACTTCATTAAGAAAATGGAGGAGAGGGTTGTTATTGTTCGTATGGTATAAAAGAAAATACAATGCACAATAACTGTGTCTAGTGACAACCAAGGAAAGGAGCCAAAGAGCTTGGGTGGCAAAAAAGAGGGAGGGAATTGAAAGCTAAGATTGTCTTTCTGCCTCTGCCTCTGCCTCTGTGAGTCTACAGATAGGAATGAATCGGTAAGGTCAGGCTATAAACTTCTAGATAAGAAAGAAGCTTGTCTGTTTCCCCTGAAAAGGTACTGCCTGCATGTGGGTGTTGTCAGTCTACCTCCAGGGCATTCCTTCTGTGTGGCTGGTATTGTGACCGAGAGGTGATCTGATGTTATCAGTGTGGGACATCAGCTCGACTTCCCCCTGCTAGTCTCTAGCAGCAATGTGACATTGTGATTCGGATAGTCAGGACTGAGAAAGAGGCAAGTGAGAGATGGGTTTCCAGGCCGAAGATCACAGAGGCCCTGTGGCTTTGCGTGTTTTGATGGATGCTGGGAGACCGAACCCAGCAAATACAATCCGAGGTCTGAGCTTACACAGCGTCATTATAACTTTGATCACCAGGAAACCCACCCACAAAAGGGACCGAGGACATAGAGACATTACCGTTTAGAGTTACAGGGGTCACCGCAGGTAGGACATCGTTCACAGGTTGGTCCTGAGGCTCCAGGGTTCGTGCAAACACACTTGCCGCAAACGCAGTCCCCTCGCCCGCTGCAGAGCACCCCGTCTCCGGAGACGCACGAGTCCGTGCTGCTGGTGCAGTTGCAGTACTCGCCGGTCCAGCCGCCCCTGCACACACACTCGCCACAGTGACAGTCGCCGTTGTCTGTAAAACACAGCGCTCTATGCCTTACACGGCCAAACCATGGGCAGATTTGTGGGGGAAGGGGGCATCTTTTCTCATGTTTAAACACCATCAAAAAGACGAAAGAAGAAAATGAGAAAAAGTGTGTGTGTTGGGGGTATGAGTGTAGATATAGTCTATCTAATATGTTTTGCTAACTCTGCATATTTATTGATCTAGTCTCCTAACTGGAATCCCCTTGATTACTTGATGTTATATGAAACAATTTGTAATCAGATAAAATGAAATATCCAGAAAGCCCATAATAGCTACTTGATATGTGTATGTGTCCACATGCGTATATATTTATTGTTCTCTTCATTTTTTGCTTTTAATTAAGGTGCCATAGGATAAAGATACAAGACAGACCTGGGTTAAAGCCTGCTCTTCTACATCACTTCAGCTGAGTGATCATGGAAGTCTCATCTATAAAACAGAGGGAATAAAATCTATTTCCAGTACTTGTGGCCAGATGAGATAATGTATAAATCTAGTTTTACATTCATTCACCAGTTAGATGCCCCATAGGCATACAGTGAGTGCTCAACACATTCATAATTTAACAAACCTTAATTGAGCATATACTATGTACCAAAAATTATATTAGGCATGAGGATATAAAATTAAATAAGACAAGGTCACTGAATTCATAATCTAGTTTAAGAGACAGGCAAATAAATTTATTACTACTAATATATACGATACAGTGTGAGAAGGGCTATATACACAGAGAAAGTGTTTCCAAATTAAATTGGAGATTTGGGGAAGTTTCCAGAGGAAATGATGCTTTAGCTGAATTTGAAAGACAAAGATAGAAAACAGAAGAGGGTTACATTCATTTCTGGGAGAAAAAGGCACAGGTAAATGATAGAAGTATGGAATCATGAGACCTATTTAAAATCCATGGTAGTTTCTTGTGGATAGAGCCAAAATGCTTATGGAGTGTGGCAGGAGGGAAGGATGGAAAGGTAAACAAAAAGTCAGAAATCGGATCATGAAAAGTCTTATAGACTAAAGGAAGAGCTTTTATCCTTAAAGTTATGAAATTTCAGGTAAGGAAGAGACCCAGAAAGATAGATAGATAGATATGTGTCTGGAAATTTCCTGGCATCAGTAGAGAGACTGAAAAACCAGTTAGGAGGTTCTTGCAGGAGTAGAGGCAAGAAGATATGAGACCCTGAACCATGGCAGTGCCCCTGGGAGCAGAGGCGAAAGGATATCTAATTCAGGGATAGAATGCTGAGGGTGCGGGTGTGATTGGTACTCAGTAGAGGATACAGGAAGAAAGAGAGGGGTGGACTCCTCCCCAGGTGACCAGACTGGGCAGCTAGGTGGGTGATATGGCTTTTCACTGACCCGGAACGGAAGCTGGCTCATGGCCACTGCCATATCCCCAATGCCTGGCATGGAGTAGTTCTCAGTTGTTGAGTGAATAAATGGTTCTCAAACAGAGGAGGAGAAACAGATTTGGGTGTGGAAAACGATGAGTTCACTTTCAGCCCTGTTGAGTTGGAAGGGACTGTGGGACATCCTAGCAAGTGGTTGAATATGGGCTTGAAGTTTGGGACTTGGGAGCCACTGGGGAAAGGTGGTAATTAAAGTTGTCGTGGATTAGGTCATGTAGGTAAAGTGAGAAAAGCTCTAGAGAGCATCAGCATTTAAAATGTGATCAGAGAAGAGGATTCTTATGGAAGAGACCGAGAGGTAGGAGGAGAACAAGAGTGACGTTGCAGAAGCCTGGGGCAGAGACAGTTGAAGAGGGAGGCATAAGGACGCTTGCTGCAGACAGTATCTCATGTAATCCTGAAGAGCCCCTTTGGATCTGGCCACATAATGATTGATGCAATACTCCACAATAATAAAGTGTTTAAGATAATGGGCTTGTGTGTTCTTCCCATAATATTCTTTGGGTGCCTGCCATGCCCATGATACTAAAATAGGCATTGGATGTTCCAAACAAATAACATTTATTTACAAACTCTCATAACTGATATTTTTCTTCAGAAAAAGAAACGTGCATTTAGGCATTTAGCCTCACAAGTTTGCTCTTTCAGCAAGATTGAGGATTACCTCAGACAATATATAACAGTGTTTATAGCAGTGCCTGGTCCATAAATAAGCACTGTATAAGTATAAGTGTTAGTTATTAGCATTGTTCCTAAAAACTATCCAGTAGGAAGAATTTGCAAGCAAAATTATTCATCAATATTAAAATTTTTATACTTTTAATGAAAACAAAGCAGATATAAAAAAATCGCAAGTGAAGCAGGTTTCCGCTTGTAGGAGACACCACCAAGTTACTGCAGAAGGAAGGATTCTAGGCTTTCTCTTGGAAACGTTGCTCTGGTAGCTGGTTACTTTTCTAGCTTCATGACTGGGCTTTAAGGGACTCGTAGTACAAGAGTCCTTGGCTTAATCACAGAGTAAAGGAGATGACAACCACAAAGATTTTGAAGTTGGATTATGATTGCTCCTGCTGTGTGTGCATATGTATGTGCATATACACACACCTGCATTTTTTTAACAATGGGACATGTCCTAAGAAATGCATCATTAGATGTTTTCGTTTTTGTATGAACATCACAGAGTGTATTTACACAAATTTAGATGGTATAGACAACTACACACCCAGACTATATGGTAAAACCTATTCCTCATAGGCTACAAACCTGTACAGCATGTTACTGTACTGAATACTGTGGGCAACTATAACACAATGGTAACTATTTGTGTATCTAAACAATATCTAAACATAGAAGGTACAGTAAAAATACAGTATTATAATCTTATGGAACCACTGTAGTACATATGGTCTGCTGTTGATGGAAACATCATGTGGGACATGACTATATATATGACTGTAAATTTTCTCTATCTCTATCTCTATCTCTATCTCTTTCTCTTTCTCTTTCTCTATGAACACACACACACACACACACGCAAATACATATATATATATATATATATATGTATATACAGATGCTCCTGGACTTACAGTGGGATTATGCCTGGATAAACCCATTGTAAAATGTAAATCTATGGGTTTTTCCCAACAAAACCCCACCATATGTAGAGGAGTATACTGAACGCATGTCACTGTCACACCATCACAAAGCAGAAAAACCAAAAGTCCAACCACTATAAGACGGGGAGCATCTGTGTGTGTTACTTTTCTAATGAAAGATGAGTTGAAATTTACCTGGATCCATACCATTAAGACACATTCCAACTGCATTTCATAACCTATGTAATTTATAATTGACCTAATTAATTCAAAGCTAAGAATTATTAACTGACTTCAACCAAAGCCATTAATTTAATTTTTATATGTAAGTGATCTTCTAAATGACAATATCTTTTTGTTTCTTCCTCAGCAAAAGGGTAAACTTACTTTCATGATATGGAGAAATTCTATATTGCAATTGATTCTGAAAATTTAATATGATTTATAAATATTATTAAATGAAATATACATTTCCAAATGCTTTGTGAATGCTCAAGTGTATCACTGCATGTAAGAATTACTTGGCAAAAATTTAGAAAACCTTCCTGGAGAAGCAGAAAAATACTATCATGGCAAAAACACAAAGAATCCCTTTCGGAATTTAGAAGCCCTCATCTCTGCTTTCTAGAGCCATCGACCTGGTCACAAAAGTTGATAACTGATATCCTTAAGCAACCAATTATCTAGAGTACCTGTTCATATAACAATAACAACAATGACAAAACCATCATATTGTTTTCATGTAGAGGCAAGATCATAACCAAAGATCAAGAAAAAATTACCAGAATGTTTCAGAGGGAGAGATCTTTCTGGAATGCCATTGACAATGACTGTAAGTGCATAATGGCAGGAAGTTTTTCTCTAATGCCATTTGCCTATGAGCTTCCATGTCTTAGAATCAAAATATAAAAGACTAATGGAATTTGTGCAAGGAAAAAAATCAATGGAGCCCTGTATATCCTTGAGTGTTTACAGATGAATGAAAGAAGTTGCGTGAAAAGAACATTGTGATAATAGCTCCTCAGAAAAACAGTGCATCACTGGGCATATTAGCTGCAAACTAAGTGAGATGGACACAAATGAGTTGTGGCATATTTGGTCTGCTGTTGAAAATAACAGCAGCAATAGCAGCATAATGTGTGTTCACAATGCCAGGCACAATTCTCTCCATGCTCTAAGCACAATACTGGGCACATAGTAGGTACTCTATAACTGTTTGTTGAATTTGAGTAACTGTATTTACTCTTATCGTACCTTTTTATAGAGAGAGTTACTAATTATGGAGTCACATCTTTTGTGTTTCTGTTTTGAGAAACAGTTGAAGGAAATTTGCATTGGTGAAGTTTTCTGAGTCCAGCTGAAGAAATCATTGTATTTTCTAAATACAATTTCTTTGGCAATCACTGAATCTGATTCAAAGAGAGGTAGTATTGTCAGACCTTCCTAGCTACAATGCACAGATCAAGTCAATTCTTTTTGAGTTTATTTCTGTTTCTCAAGCACGGTACAAAATAAAGTGAAAGACCATCAAGGAAAGCTCTGTTGCTAAACACAGGTCAGCGATTTATACCACCTTAGATTTCTTTGATTCAGGATTTAAAGGGTGATATTTTGCTATTACGTTTTCATTAGATGACACTTAAGATGTTTCTGAAAGGTAATTTCAAATGTTTTGAGCACATATTTGATTAAAAGATTGCTATTAGAAATGCAGCATGGCATTCTGCCAAATATCATCTTCCTATGATGTGAGGATGGCCTCTGGCTGGCTTCCTGTCACCTTCAGATATGTCCTGTCAATATCATGTGAGGACTCATGTGAGTTTGGAAACACACTCACTAAATCAGGAAATAAACCTCCAAATGAAAGAGGAGAGAAATGTGTCTCAGTCAGCATGAACTCTAAAGTTTTCACTCTCTTGGGGGAAAAAGGCAGATTTTCTCACAAGAACCTATTGGTAGCAACAGCAGCAACAAAGAAATGAAAGGTAGGTACACTTCTAAGAGTATCAAATGGTTTTAGGAAAGCTTGGAATTCTTTGAGGCTTGTTTCTCTCAGGGCTTTTTTCTGAAAATTAGTCTTTTTATATGTTTTTGACACTGTAGTTTGAAAACATAACTTGCTTATTTTTATATAAAGATAATGGCTTTCTGTTTTGAAGAGCTATCTGCTTACATAGTGTGAAAAACCAAGACATTAGAGCTTAAATTTAGCAGTCAGTCAGTATTTCAATTGTAACACAAATTTATATCATTTAAAGTATATATTAATATATTTGTAATTCTTATGTGAATAGATTATACTTATATATGTATATATCTCAGAATGATTTTATAACAGTAATATATTCTTAAACTATAGTGATTTTTATATCTACAAAGGACATTAAAACATAAATATTTCTATTTTAAACTTTTCTTCCATTTTTCAAGATATTCCAAGCCATTTTCCATCTTTATCCTTTCAGTAGGCTTCTTCACATATGTACTCACTCATATTTTCTTTTTTTTTTTTTTCTTTCTTTCTTTTTCTTTGAGAGACAGGGTCTAGCTCTGTCACCCATGCTGGAGTACAGTGGCATGATCGTAGCTCACTTGAACTCCTGGGCTCAAGCTATCCTGCCTCAGCCTCCTGAGTAGCTGGGACTACAGGCATGCACTGCTACATCCACCTAATTTATTTTTATTATTTTGTAGAGACAGGTGTCTCAATATGTTGCCCAGGCTGGTCTCGAACTCCTGGGCTCAAACAATCCTCCTGCCTTGGCCTCCCAAAGTGCTGGGATTACAGCTGTGAGCCAACATGCCTGGCCTACTTACCCATCTTTATTATATCCAGTACCTAACCTAGCATCTTTCACATAACAGGTGTTTAATAAATATTTGTGGAAGGAGTGAAGGCCCTGCAAGTCCATTCAGTATTTTTGTGCTCCTTGTCCTTGGCAGCATTTCCCTTCAGGAGTCTACCTTTTTGTTTTTCCAAAGTAATAGGCATTTAAGAGTTGGGTCAGATCTAGCGGCTTGATCCAGAAAAGTCTGGAAGAGAATGGAGTTCAGATTACAGGCAGTTTTGTGGAGTCTGGGTGATAACCAGAGAAAAGGCATTTCCATCTTTTACCCACTTAGGAAAACAATAATAGAGATGTAAGTTCAGTTGGCAGAGATCTCACCCTAAGTGAATGTTAGAGTCAGAAATCATACAAGAGGAGATTCAGTTACCCTAGGTCTAAAGTTGATCTGCAAATATTTATTGAACATCTATTATACCCAGGAAACTGTGGAAGATGAAAAGGATGCAAAGCCCCTTGCTGATACTCAAACAGCTACAGTGTAAGATGGATTTAAACATAGCCTACCTCCGCAGAGCAGCCCTTTGTGTCTTACGCAGGAGAAATTGTCACACTGGCAGTAAGGTCCATAAATGTTTCCATAGGGAGACAAGTGGCAGATGCACTGCCCACAGTAGCAGTCACCCCTTCCGCTGCAGGAAGGGTGGTCTGGGGTCTCCTTGCAGGAATCTGTGCTCAGCATGTCCTCACCACACTCACAGCGAGGCCCCATGTGGCCAGGGTTGCAGGCACACACCCCACATTGGAAGGAGCCGTTCCCATTGCTGCATTTGGGGCTATTCACTTCCACTTCTTTCTGACAGTTGCAGTTGCATTCTGGACTGACAAGTATTTCGAGTGCATCCCCCAGCCCCACAGGCTTTACGATAATGTGCCTGCTTCTCTCGCACTTCGGCATATTCACAGTCACGTTGAATGAAGCCTGGAAAAGAAAATACTAATTACCTGCTCTCTCCATCCACCAAAATGCACGAGGTGAAGCAAGGCTGCACGGAAATCAGCTTTGCCAAAGGCATTTACTAGGAAATCTTTGAAAATCACTTTTGAAATTCTTAAAAGAAATCCAGCTTCAGTGAATTAAAATAACTTCTGACCCTCTGAGTACCTTTCAGACGGTCTATTGGTCATCTACTTACTGTGTCTCCCACCTTCATGTGAGAGCATTTCTTTTCGTGTGGGAAGAGGGTGCCGTTGTTACAGACGGCTGTGAATGACAAGTTGAGTCCTTCCGTGTCTCCTAACACTTCCAGGTCCACTTCAGACCGCAGTTCCTTAAGACAAAGGGTTAAATGAAGTCACAACCAAAAAAATACAACCAGAGAAAGAAATTGTGAATCACGTTCATTAAACTACAAATGAATAAAATCAAATTGGGTGTAAAAGAAGTTCACCATATCATCAATCAAGCAAGCAATACATACATTTTATATTTTATCAAATATAAAACGCCAACAATTATAAGATACACCATTATCTTATGACAATTAAACAGTGACAAAATACCTCAAGATGGTTCTGCACAACAAATGCCTTAGTCCTATCCATCTATAATTGCTTCAAAAATTATTTCATCCATTCTGAGGGATTTGGCAAGTTCTCCTGCCCAGAGTTGCATAGCTTGGCATATAAAAGGAAATTCTTTTGCTTGTATTGCAGTCACAAAATATAACAACAGCTTCCTTTACTTGCGAGTATCATCATTTCTCAGCTTCCATAAACCAACTGGTTGTTACTTTGCAAAGAATTCAGAATTGCAGTGATTCCTCCAACAATGAATATTTGCTTCACCGATATCAAATTTACACCCCGCCGCTCTCTTTTGGTGCATTTCTGCATACATAATAACTTTTCATCTCAATATCGAATCATAGTGCAAACTTTTTGGAGTTATTTTAAAATGGCAATTAAACTTATCACTTACAGCAGCAACAACACATTTGACGAATGGAAGTGACCACAATCATGACTGTCAATGAAAACTACATCATGACTGCTGCCCGGTAGATAGTGATTATAATTCACCATTAATTATAAGATGGATCAAAATTTTAGAGATGTTAAAATGTGGAGGGAAAGTATGCCTTAAAATCAATACTGGAATTTATCGAGCACCCTTTGTACATTTGGGGGGCAATAACATAACACCAGATTTCTGCCCTTGAGAAGCTTATCATCTTATTTTCTCTATTCCTTGTTCACTTACAAAATAAAAGTCTGTATTTTGGGGGGACAAAATAAAATTATTAAAAATATAAAAAAATCAACAAAAACAAATTTTGAAATATTATGAATTAAGTTATGCTTCATTCAATTCATCCAAAAGTTTTGAGTCCGTATACCCATTTCATTGTTGACATTTAAAAAGCACATTCAGCTTCAAATTTTCCTTAAGTATAATTTTGCCAACTGCATAGCAAGATGACCCCCTTTCTCCAAATTCTGTTTATACTGAATTTGTAAAGACTTAAAACAGGAGTGCTGTTGGAGATAGTGGCACAGTGAGTCAGGAGCTGAGAACTGAGAGCTGTGAGCTGGAGGTCGGCAGCGACAGCAGTGATGACGACTAGGGACGATGTCATCTGACCTACATAAAGGAAGTCTCAGCATCGTGTAATGTCATATTGCAAATTTGACCTGGAATATTTTAATGTAAATTTCCCAAGGAAAGGACATAAATGTTTGTTTGTACTTTTTCATCATTTCATTCATTCATTTTTTGAGCATCTGCTATGAGTCAGACAAAACAAAACAAAACAAGTCAATTCTCTCCTGGAATTTAAATGCCAGTAGAGGAACTTACCCTTGGCATCACTGATATTTCAGTAGCTTTTATTATGTGATTAGGGAAGGAAGGAAATTAGTGAATGATGATCGGATGAATACACATCCACTATTTAATTTTTTTAAAACCAACATGGCACTGCACAATACTGAGCTGAAGTGTGTGGCCACAAATTATAAATGCAAATCATCTGTCTCTGCCCTACTAGAAGCCAGTCAGAAGTATTTTATGTTTTCTTTCAGTATATTTTTCTTTCATATTTCTCTTTTTATGGACCAGAAAGAAATTCAGTCTATGAGTCCCCATATTTTAAAGTCTTTTTAGAATGTACTTAAAAATAACAGAGTAGAAAAATAATTTGAACAAGTGCAACTATCTATGGCATATTTCACCCTGTGAATCATAAAGTTCCAATAATGACTCCAGAACAAGATAGTTTCATTTAAGAATAGTAAATGCTACTTAGTATTTTTGATTTCATTCAAATGTTTAATGCCTTGATTTCAACAACCCTATAAGTTATGTGATATATTTATTGGGTAGCATAAAGAGAGACAACCCTCTGACAGGACAAGCAGGGGCATGGATTGGGTTGGTCACACAGGAGGGGGATATATTTTTGACAATTCACTGTTTTCTAATCTGCTTCATTTCTTTGAAGGTGTTAGTGGCCAAGACCATGGAGGATATCGGGTTCAAGAACATGGAGTGTGGCCGGGCGCGGTGGCTCACGCCTGTAATCCTAACACTCTGGGAGGCCGAGATGGTGGATCGCTCAAGGTCAGAAGTTCGAGACCAGCCTGAGCAAGAGCAAGACCCCGTCTCTACTAAAAATAGAAAGAAATTATCTGGACAACCAAAAATACAAAAAATTAGCTGGGCATGGTGGTGCATGTCTGTAGTCCCAGCTACTCGGGAGGCTGAGGCAGGAGGATTGCTTGAGCCCAGGAGTTTGAGGTTGCTGTGAGCTAGGCTGATGCCACAGCACTCTAGCCAGGGCAACAGAGCCAGACTCTGTCTCAAAAAAAAAAAAAAAAAAAAAAAAGAACATGGAGTGTGCTCTCATTCAGCGAAGGATTACTGCGTGATTTTATTTGATTCTGCACATTAAAACTTTAATTACTGCATGAGAGGGAGGAAGGTTTTTATAGTGTTTTGTTGACAAGCTTTCCTGTCTGGAAGTATTTCAAGCATGAGCTAATACGGTGATTAATTTTTGATGTGAGCTAAGAAAATTGAAATTTCTGAGGATATCAGTGAAAAGAAGCCTCATCATCTTATAATTTTAATGGACATGTCTGTATTTTACTCTCCGAGGAAATGAAGTATCTGAGAAAGAATACTTGCTTTTCCTCCTGCAGGTGAGTTTTAAAACTGGTAGAGTGATATCAAAATCATTACGAAGTTTTTTTTTTCCCCCCAAAATATGTATCTCTCTTTTCCCCTTCAGCTCTCCAAAGATGACTGTGAGAGGAACATGGGCATGTCTATTTTTAAAAGGCTTCACTGATGATTCTGATATGTCATTTAGTTAAGGAACATGGTTTACTCTATGCTAAATGCTGGTGTATACTACATGTGGATCATTTATTTGTAATTTTAAAACATCAAAAATTGGGAGAATTGTATTCATCTGTTATTATGTAACTGCTGGTTAGAGCAAACACTAGAGCTTTATAAAAATGCACTTTTTTCATTCCTGTCCTAATTTAGGGCTTCATCTTCCTCTTTGTGTGTATGCCTGTTTTTTTTTTTTTTCTTTTAAAGTAAAGGCAATAAAGAGGGGTGATACTTAGCAACCAAAATAAAAAAGAGTTGACAACTGGCCATCCATCGTTGACTAATGAGTTATGAAATGGGGACAAAGAAAGAGAACGTAGCAACCCTGTAGGTATGTATCTTATTTTAAGGAAGGAATTCTGTCTGCAGGTACTAATTCACAAAGTCAACGCAAAGAATTATTCATATATACATTCTCATAAAACCAGTGGAAAATTTCCCTGGTTTCCAAAAGTAGAGAACCTAAAAAGTGGTATTCCTGGCATGCTTTTGGTGTTTTGATACATAGCCAACACTGGTATTTTTGCTTGAGTTATAATCTAGTCTCATTAAACCTGTGGAGTTAGCTCTTCACATAACTCTGTTACTCACTGGCAATTTAAATTTAATTTTTTTCAGACAGAAGACAGCTTAATTGTATGACTCATGAGGCCTTTTCAGTCAAATTAAAATTTTGCTGGTCTCCATGTTGCTGTTGGTTATTATTATAAAAACAACCTCAACTTTACGATCAGATTTATGATTTTTCTACCTTCTGCACCACCTTTCACGAAGAAGATCTATAAATGAAGTGAACAAAATTTGTATTTTGGCTACATTAATGCAGAGACTTTTCTTTGGATAAGCACTCTTTCTACCAACAAATGAGAATGAATTTAACTGCCTAAAACACATCTCAGTTTTTGAATATCCAAGAAATGCAAAAAGAAGCCAGCTGTAAAGTATCCTACTTCATAAGCTGAGATGATCAGCTGGAGAATGTTTCCAGAGTCCTTCTGAAGTAGCCCTACTGTTGCTCCAGGAATAAGTTTTGCGTAATTCTGTAAACAGAAAAAGAGTAAGTCAATCTTTGCTCACTGTAATTGAGAAACATTAAATGTGGGGTTCAGCCTGCTGGCTGTGATCGCCTCTATTTAACTGGCTGGAAAAAACAGGCTCCTGATAACAAACCGGCATTTCTCCTGAAACTGTAGCCACCCTATTTGGTGCTGCTTCCCGAGCTCAAGTGGGAAATGGACGGGCCAGACTAGCCACGGAGAAATCTAGGGCTGTGGTTGCCGTTGATTAGGGCTGTGGTTGCTGTAGACTAGGGCTGTGGTTGCTGCAGACTAGGGCTGTGGTTGCTGTAGACTAGGGCTGTGACTTATATCATAACCCAATGGGAGTCAAGTCTCAAATGATAGTAAACATTTATATAACGTCTTTCATTTGTGAAGCATCCTTTGTCTAAAAAATTCTGAGCCTACACCCAGAACTTTCTTCTCTTTTGGTGACATTGCAGAAACCAAAGTTTGGTGCACGCAGGCAGTGAGGGAGTCAGGTTGCCCAGAAGTCATTCATTCAGTTTGGAGGTGATAAGGAGCAACCACTTGGTGGAGAAAGAGTGAATTAGTGGACGCCTGCAGTTATTTCTCCCTTTCCTACCAGTAACGAGCACTTTCAGGGTGTCAGCACTGCCCTGGGGTTGGTTGGAACGGCTCCCCACTGCCTCTCACGATGGAGCCAGTCAGAACCTGGATCTGAAGGCGTTCTCCACCTACACTGCTTCTCCTGAGATGCTGTTACCAGCTGAGAACTCACAATATTAGTTCATCGTCACTCCAGGTATCGAGCCTGGCCAGGGAGTGAGGCATTACATGGAAGAGAATTTTCCAGACAGCTGAAAATGCCCCCTCCTTTCAGTTTTATGTTTAAAACTGTTATTTTCCAATGAAAAGTTTTACATCCCTGTCTTCTTAAAAAAAGACTCTCCCAAATACTTTGACTTTTTCTTGAGGGAACAGAGTTACACTTATCAATAGAACTATGTCGTTCTATAATTACCAAAGGCTTTTGAAATCTACATAGAGGTCACACCCATACCTGACTGTGATGCTCTTGTTTCTTGTATTTGTTGTTATATAATGTCTACCTTCTCCTTGTTAAGGCCTAGGGGATTACTCGTCTACTAATTTACTCACTTATTTATTTACTGTTGCATTCAACATCTATTAAGTAGGTTTAATATGCCATACTATAGCAAGAAGACACAACCACTGTCAGCTGTGGTCTTCTGTGTGTTGTGGAGTCAGATGACTGAGTTTATTAAAACTGGATGTAGAAAAGAGTAAATAAGCTTTGAATGAAGGATTTAGGGCATATCCTAGTTCAAACATAATGATATCCTATCTTATTCTAAAGAAGATTTAAGTAGCTTAGAAAATGAACAAAACTAAATTAGGACGAATAATTATCATTAATTATAATAGTGATACCGAGTAAATAAATCAGGACAAAGGGAACAGAGGAGAGGAAGAACTGAAGCCAAGGTGCCATTAGGACACAGAATGCATGCAAGACGTCCTTCCTGGACCCTTGCTGGAGGTGGGCAGTGGAAAGCTTCCTGGACACAAGCTTCCTACACGTCCTGTAAGGAAAAATGGGCTTTGGTTCTGATTTGTGGGTGTGTCATGTTGCACTTATTTCAGTGTTCACGATTATGTTGAAATTGGAAGTCACTGGAAATCTGAACTCTGCAGTATGTCAGATGGTGCTCCGCTTTGACGGTTTACCATGGCGGGGGCTGCGGGCAGCAGTCCAGGTAGCATTCCTCACCCTACTGCGTGCTCCGCATCACCACCTGGGGGCCCCCTTCTGTTTCCCTGACTCAGGGAGATCTTGTGAAATACGAGGAAGGCGCCAGTTCATGGACTTACCTTTTCAAATAAACACATGTCACAAAGGGCCGTGAAGCATGAGACATGTGGTTAACGGCGAACACCTAAACCGGAACTTGAATTCCACTTAGGAGGAGCTGGCATGTGTGTAAATTTGACTGATCTCAGAAGAGAAGGCAGAGGGAACCCTTAGAGCTTGACAAAGAAAGTTTTTGATCCTTTAGAAAAAGAATTTCCAGGCTCTTAGCTTCGTATGAAACAGCTGTCCTTGAAAGCCATCCTGGTATCCCCCGGGCTGAGGTGTCTTGGATAAGTTCTGCAAGCACTAGTTCAAGTGGCCTCCAGATTTGCAGTTAATTCTTGGCTATCGATGCCAACCTCATCCACTTCCTAAAGCATAATTATGATCCTGCATGTGGTATGACATTTGGCATTTGGCTATTAGGACAAGTGGTGAGCATCGTATTTGCTGATTGCCACTAGAGCGCAGGTATAAAGGAGTTGGCAGCCAGTAGCAGTAACCAGTGATAACACCGGCAATTGTGCAAAGGAAAACTACTAATTAATTTCTGGATGCTGAGTCCCCCCAAAAGCATTTCAAATAATTAACTAAAAACATGCACAATTTGGCTTTCTGTTCTACACTGTAAAAAAAGTATACTCTAAATCTTGTAGTATTATGATTACTGTAAATATCATGTATCAAATGCCTTCCTTCCATTAAAGTCTTCAAGTGCTATCATAAGTCGTTGTGCTTAAACATGTTTAATGTTAGGAAAAGGATGATTTTGCATGCCAGGATGTGATGAGTTATAGCGTTTGTGACTCTGAAAGATGAGGTTTGGGTATTAGGAATGGTGAACACCGTAAACATGATGTTGCATGAGGTAATTAGAAACGCACACTCCTGTGCTCAGGCTTGAATTCTCTGTTATCTCTCTGCAGATTATCCTAATTATGGATTTTCTCCCCTCCTCCCTGCCATGCCACCCAAGAGTTCCTGAGGTTGCTTTTCTTACTCATTCTTTCTGATTACCTTAGTTTTCTTAACTTCTTTCTTCAAGCCCTATTTCTGTTCACTCTGCCCCTATTTCTAAAAAAGATTTCTTATTTATCCGACCATCTGCATTTGCTCCATGGAAACCTCCTTGTCAAAGATGGAGGATGTGAAGGGGACAGGGGTCATTTGGCTGGCAGGCAGGCATCAATGGATCCAGAGGCAAGCGCCTGAGTTCACACCTGCACACTCTGGGCTCCTCTCAGAGAGTGTCTCCAAGTTCGGTTCCTCTCAGCGTCTGGTTGCCAGAACCAGCTGTCAGGTGTGCACTCCTGCTTGGCTGAGGGCAGAGGAACACAGAGTTGCACACCTGCTACCCTGGTTACCTGTAAACAGGCTGTTGGTTGGCTTTCTCTTGAAAGAGACTCGGGCTGAGGACCTCGGCAGACCCTTTTTTGCTTTGGCGATATCTTGGCATTCTTACCCACAGAAGGGGCAACTCCTGACATGACCTTCATTCCTGCTTTGTCTGCACTGCCTATGTGGTTAACTCCTCAGAGCCTGGCTGGCTTCTGGGTCAGCGTTTAGTATTAATTTTATTCTTGCTAGGTATCCTGATTTAGTTTCTGCCTTGGTTGGTGACCCTTTTGGACCCTGATGTCCTACTTGTGTGACATTTCTGCTATAGTATCAAAGACTCCTCACCACCTCAGAGCTCATTAGCCATCATTTTGTAGAGACCACACTACTCATACCCCTCATTAGAGGGTGGAAAATCAGATGTCAACTTGCCACATATCAGCTAGCAGTATTTTTTTTTTTGCTTTTATTATTTTTAATTGACACATAATAATTGTGCATATTTATGGAGTACAGTGTACTATTTCAATACATGTACACAAGTGTAATGATAAAATTAGAGTAATTAGCATATCTTTCACAATTTAGTAAAGAATTTGTAAAACCAAATACTTAGAGCAACCAGCTGCTTCTGTTTAGGCTCTGTGCTTGCTTAACTCTTTCTGTGTTACTAGTAGCACTTTATTTTATGCTCAGCATTGTTTTATGCTCAGAGCTGTTTATTTTCAAATATTATTAACTAACATCAGTGTTTCTGGTCTTAAAATATACTTACTAAATGTAGTTTACTAAAATACATTTACTAAAATGTTGGCTTATATAGACAGAGAACTTAGGATGTTATATAATCTGCTCACAAATTTTTCCTCTAATCTTTCAAAGTATTTTTTTGTCATTATCTCGTATCTCTTCGATCAGTGGCTTTTTTTTGTGTGTGCTCTCTCTCTCTCACTTGTCTCTCTCTCTCTTTCTCAGAAACTTTAACAGCAGCATAACACACATACACAGTGTACTAGTAATAAATATACAGCTCAAGGAATATTTAAAAAGTAAACGAGCAAGTGCAACCACTATGAAGATCAAGAAACAGAACATAACCAGTCCCCTGGAGTCCTCCGTGCACTGCCTTCCAGACATTACTCCTCCCCCCAGAAGCATAACCACAATTTTGACTTTTAACACTGTAGAAGTCAGGGGAGATATCTTCATGGCTTTAGGGTTAACAAAAATGTCTTAGGTAGGACACAAAAAGCACTACCCACGAAGGAAAAGATTGATAGTTAGGAATCAAAATTAAGAATTTTATCTGTAGATTTAATGCAATCCCAATCAAAACGCCAGCAAGTTCTGAAAGCTGATTCTAAAGTTTATATGGAAGGAGAAAAACAAAGTTGGAGGACTGATACTACCTGACTTCAAGACTTACTATAAAGCTACAGTAACCCAAAGAGTGTGGTACTGACAAAAAAAATTAGACAAATAGATAAATGGAACAGAATAAAGAACCAAGAAATAGACCCACATAAATGGCATTCTGGAAAAGGCAACTGGTCGTTGACAAAGAAGCAAAGGCAACAATGGAGCAAAGACAGGCTTTTCAACTAATGCTGCTGGAATCACTGGACATCCGCATGCAAAAAAAAAATGAATCTGGACTTTACACTCTTCACAAAAAAATTAGCTCAAAATGGATCACAGACCTAAATGTAAGACACAAAATCACACAAGTCCTATAGGATAACATAGGAAAAAATCTAGATGACCTTGAGTTCGGTGATGACATTTTAGATGCAGCGCCAAAGGCATG